CGCTTTCGCCTTCGCTTTGCTTTGCTTTGCTCGCCTTCGTTGCGCAGCAAGCGAAATAGAGAGCGGGGCATCTTCGCTTCGTTCGTCGCCGCCTTCGGCTTGCTCGAGCAAACGAAATAGTCCGCCCCCCCCCCCCCCCTTCATATCTCTTTTATATCACGACATTAATGACATTAAAGTTGGGAACGCTCCTAATGGAGCATCACCCCGTAAACATCAAAACTAATAATTATTCTCTTCCTCGTCCGTATTCTCCATGGTGGTATGAATGCCTTTCTAGACACGAGAAGCTGCTGCTGCAATGAACTCTTCAGCCTCACGTGAATCTATAAAATAAACCGAACAATTACTGGTGTAAAACACGAGTTGTCGCACGATCTACCTAATCTTAAGGTGGCGTGGCGAAAAATGTGAAAAAATGCGTCATCGTAATTTTATGCAGCGTCAGTTAGAATTATCGCGCTTTATTTTATTGCGTGCAAGTGGTATCACGATCTTTTATACAACCCCTATTTGCAAGTCATGCTATCTAATCGAGTAATAAAATGTTATATTGTAGCTATAAAATGCTGGTGCACTACGACACTTACAAGTGCACTATGAATAGAAACACTAATAATCCAATATAAAGGTCTAGCGATATCTTGTAAATTTCGTGTAGTATAGGCCTATCTCTGCGCAGGTACAAGCAATGTCAGTATAGTAACCATAATCGTTCTCACCTTCATAAACACAATTATTTCGCATGCCTCTGACAGGTGCGGGCGCTTTTCCAGAGTTTTACGAAGGCGAACGTAAACGAAAAGGAGGCCACGTATTTCTGCACCTCCTGCAGTTTATCCTCCTCGGTGAAGCCAGTCAGCTCGTCATCAGTTACCATATCTCTCAGAGTCAGCATGTTTGCGGGCATGTCTGCGACGAAACTTAGCTCCTGGACGAAAAAGAAACCATCGCTATCTTTCACTTTGTGTCACTTTGTCAGCAGATGCTCGCTTCATCAATAAGAATGAATGCGTGACGAACTATGAACGTGCTGATTAGCACACGCATAGACGATGTACTAACGATGTACTAACGAAAAAACGTGTTTATAGGTTGGGCCCAGCTTTGAAGTACTACCTTCGGCCATAGCTTCGGCTGCGATAAGCGGCCTGGCGCGTGTTCGGTACGTGACTCTATAGCACGAAATGATTCAAAGCCTACGTATAGGCGTTAACAAAAACTGTTGACATATTTGGACAAGAGGCAGCACAACGGTCTGTAATCTATGGCGTGTTGGTTTCAGAGGATTCATTTTCAAAGATATAACGAACGGAATGTTAAAAATTGACGACTAGATTCGCCCCAAATTAGTCTGGTTATGTTTTCCTAACGTTTGCTTTGCCAGGAAAGTGCGTTTCAGTCGTATGTGCTTTAATATTCTCTTATTACTCTTACGTGCTCGTACATTCTTAGTTTATAAAAAAGAAAAGAGAGGTACAACTTGATTCACTTTCTCATTTCTTTTCAACCGCGTAGTCTTAACCAACGTATATAATTATAGTAATCACAGGTGAAATAATCTACCGCGTGTGTCATCGCTCGATTCACAGTGAGCACCCCACTGGGCAACTCCGATAGTTTCACTATTAGCGAAGTAGTAATTAGGCAAGGAACAGTATTGGGTCCGATCATGTGCTGTACCACCCTGGACTAAATAAACAGTGGAGGATATGGCTCCCTAGTAGATGTATATCAAAGTACCACAGAAATACCACCGTTGTTATATATGGATGATCTACTGGGAATAGGGAACCTAAACATGGTACAGAAAATAGCGCATTCATGCAACTTACTTGCAACAGAAAAAATGATAACATTCAATAGGGACAAGATAAATATAATGAATATTAACTTTACGCCTCATAGAAACATTAGAATTGAAAAAGAAGAAAAAATTTATTTGGGTAGAAACAGAGATAAAACATTACAAGTACTAAATATAAATATCTAGGAGACATTTTTAATAACAACGGTGACTACATAGATATGATAAAGGAGAGAATAGACAGAGGCAGGTATATGATAGGGGAGGTCCTAACAATGACTAAACCAAACCAATTAGGCAATTTCACAGTAGAAGCCTGGGAGTGAAATTATATGAGTGCACGATACTCCCATCTATATTAAATAATAGTGAAACTTGGGCAAACCTAACAAAAAAGGAAATACAATTATTGGAAGGCTTTCAAAATGATTGCTTAAGGAGAATACTAGGTGCACATAGTAAAACCCCACTAATCGCTCTAAGAGGTGAGCTAGGTATAATACCAATTCTTGACTTATGTTATTGCAATACATAATAAATTTAAAGCAAGAACGTTTAATGAGAAGAGTGTTGTTACAGCAATTAAAATATGGGGGGAAAAATTGGGCAAATGAAATCATAGACAAAATTAAAGAATATAAATGATTAATATGTCATTTCTTTACATTCTACTTGACGCATCTCTCTATATATATAATATATATAT